CCAATAAATTTTTAAAAAAACGAATGCAAAGAAACATCAGGACGCTTCAAACTGTAAAGTTTTTACATACATTGGGTTGCAGGCTGCATTATCCGAAAAAAAAAAAAACACCTGTGCCTGTTTTGCAAACTGATCTATTTTACATGCCTCCAGGTGTTACCTGGAGACACAAAATGAGCCTAATGTTTCAAAACTTTTTTTTCCCTAAAAAAAACAAAAAAAAACCCAAAAACAAATCCATCAAAACCAAAAGCCTCATAACAGTTGACAGTTAAAAAGAGAATTTTAGACCTGTAACACCAAGTGCTTCAAACAAAGAGCTACTTCAGCTAGGAAAGATGTAGTGCTTCTCTTAGGTGCACTGCTAGTGTTAAAAATGGGTGAAGAGACCCAACCATAAATGTTCCATTTTAGTGCTCTCAGACAAAATAACTGACAGCACAATCCTGTGCATATCTACTCAGAAGTAAGCTCTACTTAGTTCAACAGGATTTACTCCCATGTAAGTGTCTACAGGACTGCAGCCCAAGAGGTTCATCTGTCTTAACATCTATTAGTCAAAAGACGCTCAGTTTACAAAGCGCTCAGAGACTCTTCTTGGCCTTTTCTTCTACTGCTGTCCTATCCTCCTACCTTTGTGAATGCAGACCTGAGGCTTAAGCGATGGTCTAGGCATCTTGCCTTTTCAGGTCTTACAAATGTTTGAAGATCCCTGTAGCAATCCACTAGAGAGGGTGAATGTAGTCATGGACAGAGGACTACAGATGTCATATAGTCTTCCAGATGTTAAGCACCATATTTTTTTTTAACAATGAAACAAAACAGAACTCTTCAGATGATTTTAGACAATTGTACCTTGATACACATTCTTGCAGTCTTTAATGTGAATGTTTTCAGTAGTGAAAGATCTGAGTTTATTAACACAATGCCTAAAATATTATAAATACTATCTATCCTAAGAGCTATCCAAAAATTATTTTTCGAAACTGTAGGGAACTGTGTCTCCAAGAGCAATAACAATTGTCATTCTGCCACAAATGCAAAGGAGGAAAGCTCCTGTATTTCATTCCAGAATTTTTTCTCAATTTTCAGCTTTGGATAGCTGGAGGATAAATTTTTATTCTAAAGGCCTGAAAAAGTCCTGAAACCAAAACCAAAGAAACCTATAATTAGAATGGGAACTGTGAAGCAGAACTGCCAGGTGCAAACGCACCCACAAAAAGGGGCAGGGGGTGTAGTGACAAAATGTGCAAAGTGACATTAGGATGGAAAAATGACAAATTATGTCCTTGTCTCAAGGGTTGGAATGCAAGTATGTAAGAATGGAATTTGCATCCTTACATTGCTGTGCATATGTTGTCATTTTGATGCAGATACCTATTGCTGTGCTTCTAGGAACTTCTCAAGTAAATCTGCTTCCACAAGTGAAGAAACTAAGAAAGTCTGACTTGTTATTTGTGGCTAATATTGTCATGTGCCAGTACTTCCAACCAACAAGCTGAATTATGGCCCATACTGTAAAGAGATGGCTTAGATTCACAGTAGTTGTTTAAAGCACATATTTAACCATACTGTGAACATGCTCCCCTCCTAATGTCAGATCTATTAATATAAACTTGATTAAGCCACATTTCAGCCTGGCTCATGTATGAAGACATAAACTTTGTACATAATATGTTACTGAAAGAGAAACAAGCCCCACATAGGCACAATCTGTTTATGTGCCTAAGCAGTATGAAATATTGTATGCCTAAAAAGTCATACAGGTGGGGGAAGCCCAGATGAAGGGAAATTATAGCAGAAGAGCCAAAAAGAATAGATTAAGGGAGTGTTGTGTGTAGGAAGCTCTATGCAAATAATCTTTTCAAACCTTTGGCATGAGTGCTCTGTTCCTTCTCCTGAGCAAACAGAAAACTTGTGGACAGAATGGATGATGATCAACAAGAAGAGGGATAGAGAAGTCTGCAAAAGGAAAGTTGGTCACAAACATAACCATCAGTGCTGGTTGGGTGTTCAGAGAGTTATAGCCCAACCCATCTGGAGGAGCATCAGGCTGGAGAATGCTGCATTCATGATCATCATAGGCATCATGACAATTTTAAGACAAATCTCATTAAGACAGAGTCTACCAAGCCACCTGCAGCTCACCAGATATGCATTCGGGGCAGCCAAGGACTTGATAGTCCTTAGACTGATTCTGAATTTTCAGAGAGGCTATTCATTTGTGTAGGGAGATAGCCATGTGCTGGCATTATATGCAGAAGGCTCAGTCTTGGAAAGACTCTTGCTTGATATCCTGGAGAATAATTCCCAGTCCCTACAGATAAACCTGAGCTAGGTGGAGCAGTGATCTGATTCAGTATAAAACAGTCTTGAAATGTATTAAGCCCTTAATAGGGCTTCCACAAATAGTTGATACTTTATACTTAGCCTGGTGGATCGAGCAGGACTAGCTTAAGGAAACCATTCTGTCTTTTGTCTGATGTCAAATATTTCTAGGATTCTAAAGACATTGAAACAGATGAACCTTTTGTTTTAGATCTTCTATTGTTTTCTCAATTACAATAATTGTTGTGGCTTTTACCTGACACTGTAATTACAAAATAGCACTTTCAAGCCCCTCTCCCCTACATTTGCTAATTGGTAATTTTGGTGTTGCAATTTCTTGAGTTGTTGAGAAAAACAAAACAAAACCATTTCATATAATATATAATCACGCACACAGGATTACATACACTGTAAGTCTAATCTTTCAGTATTTGTCTAGTTATTGCAAAACGAGCCATCTTTTAATTAAATAATCAAATGTCCTTATTAGTACAAATATTTTATATCTTTTTAATGCACTAGATAAAATTAGTAAAAGGGAGGAAGTCTTCTCGCTTTGCAATACCTGCTTGAAAGTTTCAATGAATTAGAATATTAGTTTTAATATAGAGGGAAAGAAAAAAAATATACTTTGTCTACTTTAAGGACCTGTCCATTCCCATCAGGCATTTCTTAAGGCTATGTTTGTCATTTGGCTTCAAACAGAAATTGAGTTGCAGTATAAAATAATTTAGTGATTTACATTCGTCTGTATTTTCCACAGTAATCAGTTATGAAGATACTTTTTAAAAAAGAATTTGTGTGCTAATTTATGCTTAGTCAAAATTCATTTCAGTTTCACTTGCACCTTAGAAACATGATTTTATTAATTTAGACAAAACACCTCATAAATTCTTATAACTGCTATTAAGCTTTTCCATGGCAATTGCTCTGTCTTACATTTTTCTAACACAACAAATTAAAACTTCCACAAATTCTTAAATATAGTCTCCCTCCAAAATGGTGGCTTTATAAATTTGAAGAACACTTTGTTTTAAGAAAGAATTTGTACAACTGTACCGGAATTTCACAGCTACAATATTTGTCAACACACTCCAATGAGGTTTAGAAAAATGTTGGGGACAGCTCAGCCAAAGAAAACTGCCATTTAGTGTTGAGGTTGACAGTCTGTGTTTTCATAAGGAGTTATGTTGAAAAGGTGTCTATAAATAACTGTTCAGTCCTTTACAAGCCTGTAGATATGATGCTGTGCACCATGTTCGCTGTTTGAAACTTCAAATACGCAAGCCATGCAAAGGAGGGTTTCTTGAGTGTCCCTGTTTGTTACAACCTGTTTGGGTTCATATGGGAAAGAAAGGAAAAGAAAGGAAAAGATGACATGTTAGAGACCTGTACATTCCCACAGAGAGACAAAAAAGTAAAAAAACAACAACAATGTAAATTCAAAAGCAGACACCTTTCTTTATTTTGAATATCAATAAATACACATTTCTGAACGGTCACAGCCTGTTAAACAAGCAGACTTTAAATTAGATTTTTCAATTCTACCTTTCTGACATATTTTGCACATGACAACAAGGCATGGTGGAATTGGTTTGGGGTCAAATTCTGAAGGAATATTTTTGGAATTTTCCTAAGGAAATTACTAACCATTGTGTTCAACTGTGTCCCTCAGTTAATTTAAAACAAAAACCTCTGAAGCATCCATGAACACAAAGAGGTGGGAATGTAACTGCTTCCCTCCCCGACTGCAGCCCTCCTCCAAAATCTGCTCCAGAGGTTTTGGGATATCTCTGGGAATAGCATGGGAGCTAATAGCATGGGAGCTTTCATAAAGATTGAAAGAATAGTTCAGAGATATTGTCTACTTTTTAAAAGAGAGTATAACAGTGCAATTGTAGAACTGCTTAACTTTTTAATAACCTGTTCCATCCTGACATTTGGAAATCTGAATTTCCAACCACATTTGAAATGGAACAGAACCTACTCAACTTAGAATTTTGAAATTCTTCCAGAGAAGATCTGTGCCATTCTATGTATCTTGCTTGAAAGCCCTGAGAGAGAAAGTATACACAACTACTCTGAAACTCTTCTACTGCAGTCTGGACAGATAATGGCTTGGACTATTTGAGCTTCTTCTCTGCCGTACTAAAGTGCTCAGAAAGGGGGTAAGTTTAGGAATATTGGAGAAGAAAGGAGAGGACAAAGCAGAGGTGTAACGAGTTGCATGAAGAGATCTGAATTATATGAGATGTCCTAGTACCCAATCTTTCTCCCTAAGTTCTCAAGAACTTCAGGAGCTTCTGAAATACAGCCTGCTGAAAATAGATAGCTAACAGTGAACATAGCTTAAAATGAGTAATTTCACAAAGTAAGCTGCCAAATGCCATAAGGAAACATTACCTTCCTTGCACTTTGAACTAAAGAGGTGCCAGCTTCTTCCCCGATTCCCACTTCATCACTCAGAGTACTATGAGAGAAACACACTGGGTACCCAGTCCAAGGAAACTATTAATACTGTGAATGCCATTGCTAACATAATTAGTGGTCAGATGCTAGAGCTGAAAGTGTATAATAGGGTTACATGTGAATGTCAGCATCTTATTCCCATTAACTTTCATAGGTCCATGGTGAGGGCTAAGAGGAAGAAGCACAGGCAGCTCAAAGTATAAACACACCCAAGTTTCTACCCTAAAGGCACAAGTTATACATCAGCCTAATTCACATGTAATCAACCATTTCATTATGCCTTGATTTCATATGTGAGGCTTGTTCAACAAATCATGATTAAAATCCTGGGTTAATATTGTGTGGAATTCAGGTTTTTGCTTCCTACATCAGGTAATTTTATGAAAAAACTGAATTCTCAGCACACAAAGCTTCATATATTGGCCTATCAGGAAAGATTAAATCAGAACCTACCTTTGAAATAACACACTTCTCAACTGAAGGACATGGCATTTCTAACTCATTTAAACCGATCTTAAGAAACATCTACCTACTCCCAACATACTCCAGAAAACAGTGAGCAAAGGAAAGAAAAACATTACCAACAAAATTGTAAAGTTTTCCAACACACTGTTCATCATATATTTTTCTGGTAAATGCTTGAGCTTGTGGATGAAATTGATCATGTATTCACACATCGGGGAGCGGTTTATTCTAAACACAAACCGGCCATTCTCAAACCGTGCATATTCAGTCTAAAAAGAAAAAAACAAATAGAATGTTGAAAACTAGAATAATTGAACTAGGTATTTCAAAGAATTATTTAGAAATCATTTGATTTTCCCATTAAACTACTGCTTAGACATACTGTAATAAATATTGTAACAACATCACATATTAGCGTATTTAGACTGCACCCGCCAGTAGAATTCACTTCCTCTCCCTCGGCAATCCAATACACATTTTCAGCTGACTGCAGATTGGGAAGATCCTCTGAAACAAATCTAAAGGCTAGAGGTTTGTGTGTGTGTGTGTGTGTGTGTGTGTGTTTGTGTGTGTGAAGAAGAGTTATAAGAAAGCAGGAGGGCAAGGGAAAGTCCTCTTGCATAAATTGAAGTTATTCATATATTGTCAACTGTGGTTCTTAATTAAATATTTAATTCTACTAAATTAAATATACAATGGAGCTGAAATGTTAGTTTCTAATAAAAGATATGCTAGAAAATACTATATTGTTTAATCCATAATCTTTAGCAGTGCTTTGATAATTATATTCTTTATTACAAGCATATCAAAATAAAATACAATAAACCAACATAAGAACAGTGCAACACTCTAATACCCACTTGATATACCCAGTAACTAATCCCAATTTAATTTAATTTAATTTAATTTAATTTAATTTAATTTAATTTAATAATTTAAGTTCCACAAGCCACAGAT